AGTATCTTTGTTAGCAATTGCTTGTAATCTGCCTTTGACTAAAACAATATAATAATAATAATAATAATAATAATAATAATAATAATAATAATAATAATAATAAATGGAATGATTCCCATCTTCTAAAACACTTAAGACTCATGTCATATCTTAATACAAAACAATTTATGATAGTATAATCTTGCATGAGATAGAATGTTCTAAAATGTTCTTAGTTTGGTGAAAGGAAAGAATGGAAAGAAATGCCACAGAGAAATATAGGCTTGACGGTCTGGAACATAGTAAACTCAATAGTCTGGTATCCTTCTATAGGGAAATAAAACAACAATTTTAATGGATAGGAAACTTTCCTTCTTGGGTACAAAACCTCCCTCCCTTTAATTCTCTAATGTGTAGCAAGGAGATTTCCCCATCCACCCACATGCACACTAATATCCAAATGACTTGCAGAAGCAGTTCTGGCTACCTTAATGCATCCCTGAGTTTTTGGGGGGGGGGGGGAGTAATTAATCTCTACAAAATCTCAGGCAGAAGAACTCTGAAGATTCAATGTCAATCAGTTGTTTTCTCTTACACTTGAGGATACTTGTGCATTATATTAAGGAAAGACATTCTTAATATATATGTGTGTTTCTTAATAATGTCCTTTGTGACCAGATCTCCAACTCTTCACATTTATGACATCAAGCACTTGATTGTTTATTCTGGAGAGCTATAATGTACAGTCTAAATGGCTTCTAATTGAAGTGAATATGTGTAGCTCATGGTTGAACTGTGGAGTCCTTGGGGTTCTTGGAAGCCTGGTGTTCAGACAAGGCAGCAATTAATAGACACATAGAGATCAACAGCATCTAGATACTATTCAAAAGAGACAAAAGACCAGAAGATCGCCTTACCAGCAATCAATCACCAGCAATCATCACTCGGATAAGCATAGGTTACCACCAGGCACCAAAAATATGCTAATCAAAGAACTACCAGAGAAGCAAAACAAAACCCCCACCCCCACAGCACTGGCAAGTCAGGCCACAGCACATAAT